CTTTCCATTTATGAGTCCCCAGTCTAAGCCCTATAGCCTAGGATACATTTATATTGCCTGGAAAAGAAAGAGCAGAACAAAAATTTTAGATAAAAAGCTGAATGGGCTTGAATTCATTTGAGAGCTGCATACTGAATACTCTGTCACTTCTTTCTATGAATCCAAGTTTGGAAGAGGTTCTCAGAGAATGGATCTGTTTTGATATGTTGGTACACTTTCCATGGCATTTTTTTGTTTTTCAGAAAAATCAGAGTTTTTATTGCTAATTTGAGTAAGAATCACAGTAATAATGAATAGCCCAACAATTCAAATTTTATTATGGAACCCTGGAAAACTGAATACAATAAGAGGTTCATATCTTATCAGGACAGGCACAATCTTCCCACATTCTGGCTAATTTCCAGTAGTGCCTTTGAGCAGACTTGTTGGAAACCACATTTGTCAGAGAATTAATCTTTTTGAATGGCTTTTCTGGCAATATTCCCATTTTATGCATGGCTTATTGTTCCTGGTACAAATATTTTCCCCATTCAACAAATGTGTTTTTTGTTTTTTCTTGTTTTATTTTTTTTACATGTGGACCACTAATTCTATGAAACAAAAAGCAGACTTATTCTGCTCTTTCTACCTTTCCATGTTAACCATGAAAGTGTAATTGTGTGCGAGTATGTGTGTACTTTTGATATGTATGACCACAACCACAAATGTTTCACATTACTGTATAATGATTTAAGTTTATTCAGAATGCATCAATGGGTTTTAAAAAAAATCCTATAGAAAAACACACTTTAATTGCTATTAATTTTCATATTTGAAATCTTTCATAGTCTATAATAGATTAATTGGGTTCTAGAGTAACAAAGGAACTGCAGTGCTGTCCCAAATAAACCCAACATACTGCAGTAGCTTCTTGGCTGGCATCGATATCCATATTCGCTTTGTAGTTTTTTTTGAGCATTTAAAGTTTTTGCAAACTGAAAGTCTTCTAATGAGGCCTAGGTGTTCAGTGGAGCTGGCCCCTTATATTTATTGTAGACGAAGGGACCATTTAGGCACAAGCAGCAATATGATGTTTTAATGTACAGGTGCAGTAACCTTGAGCAATATGGATTTAAAAATACATTGCTAGCAATATGCTATTATTTGTACTTCACGTGTGGCTTGGGGAACCCTAATATGAGTTCAGGTATATAGGAATGAGCTCTAAAGTCTCAAACCAGGCTAAATTTTATCTAGGTAAGGTCTTCAGAATTTGTTTCATTACCATTAAAACATAAAGATTAAATATCTTAAACTTACATCTGCAGAGGAAGAGCTGTGTACTTGCTTGTGATCTGCCAAAAAATCTTTCCTTTGTTTAGTCAGAAAGAATAACTAACAAAGACATATTAAAGTATAATGGGCTCCTTTTTATTTTACTCTGTGTGTGTGTGTGTGTGTGTGTGTGTGTGTGTGTGTGTGCGCGCGCGCGCATTATGAATAGTTACAAAAAGGCAATCTTGGATTTTTCTTAAAAAGAGAGAAGCAGGGAAAAACATGCAGCTTGGGGCCTAGAGCCTACAATGCTTGGAAGACATTATGATTAATTTTGTACTTAGGTTTCCAGATGTTGGATTTTATCCCAACTTTTTAAGGATTTCTAATGTTTAACAGGATATGTACTGAGTATAGCCTTTAACAGAGTTTTCTTTCATAAATCTAGGATCTATGAGAAAAGGAGAATTAAAGAAAATATTGCAGATAGGAGCTGAACCTACAGTCCTCCAGAGAAAATAGAATTTCCAAGATTGGAGTGTTGCCCAATTTGTTTAGGAAGACTATGGATGGGCACCGGTTCTCTCATTTGAGCTATCTAAGTGCTGTCCTTATGGTGCTCCTTTGGACTGGCATCTCGTATGCTCAGAAGGACTGTACAGGAGTGGAATGCCAGCCCCTGGAGAACTGTATTGAAGAGGTGCTTGAGCCTGGTGAATGCTGTGCTACATGTCTGCAACATGGTTGTACTTGTGAAGGCTATCAGTACTATGACTGTGTCAATATGGGATTTGTGAATGGCAAGGTCCCTGAAGGGCAATCTTATCCTGTGGACTTCGGAAGTACTGAATGCACATGTCCCAAGGGAGGAGGCAAGATCAGCTGCCAGTTCATGCTTTGCCCTGAGTTGCCCCCACAATGTATTGATTCTGTGTTATCTGATGATGGTTGCCCTCAGTGTAGAAGAATAGGCTGTTTACATGAAGATCAGAAGTATGTAGCAGGCCACACATTCCATGTGCCTCATTGTAAGGTTTGTCATTGCCCAAATTCTGGAGGTAAACTGATGTGCTACCAGATCCCAGACTGTGATAAATTTTCATTAACCACAGAGAGTCCCCTGGATACTGAAGAGAATGAACCAGAGAGGCACTATGATGATCCGTATAGCTATGATCAGGAGGCACCAGAAAGAGACATCACACAGGTAGAGTCTCCTAAAAAACATAGGAGCTATGCAGCCCATGAAGAACCAGATAGTGTTATCCAAGAACAGAGTGAGGATTATGATTACCCCACAGTCAGTTCAACTCCCCCAACATTGGCTCAACCTGTTTCACATGCTGAAGAAATTGCTACAACACTCAATATACACACTCCTACTCCCTTCCTTGTGATTAATCCAACAGAAAAAGAGGAGGAAAGGAAAGAAGTAAGCACACCAGTGTCACCTACAGTGCAGAATACAAGTAAGAAAGCACCAGTGACTAGCAGTATTCCAGAGGAGCAAACGACTGCTCCAGCAGCAGCACCCAAGCAAGTAGTGGTAGAATTTGAGAGAAAATCCAAGGGGAAGCAAGGGGACAGACAGAGAAATGAACAAGAAGGCAGTGCCCGCCCTAAAACAAAAAAGCATTTAAGAAAAGATTATAAGGAGCCGGGGAACAGTACATATTCTCGCTTCAAAGAGGCAAACATAACAGAATCTCATGGGCCAAAAACTTCCCGTGAAACACAGGAAGGAAGTTCTTTCCCTAAGGTCAAGTTTAGTTCAACAACATCACCTCCCATTGTTCTGAAAGAAGACCAAAAGCAGCCACAGACCCTTTATCGCTACCATCCTGAAGAAGAGGAAGACCCCAATTCCATTCATACTGCCTCCAGGTTACCAGAAGGTAAAGTCTTAACTATATCCAGCATGGACATTTTGTTGATAACACTTATTTGTTATAACACTGCACAGAACAATTGCTCTTTCCTTCAATCTGATCCTAATGTATGTGAAACAAAATACCCAATTTTCTTCTTTTATCTTTCTGCAAGAAACAGGCAGTCCTTGCTACCTACTTAATTTGGGAAAATAGTATTTCACTTCTGCCTGCCTTGATTTGATTTTAGAGACCCTGGTTTCTGGTTTTTTAACTGTATTTCATATTGGGTATCATTCAAATACAACCCTTTTCCTTCTCTCCCCACCTCACCACTTATTTATCAATACTTTCTTAAGGAAATTACTGATTTAGGAGAAAAATAACTGAACTTGGCTATTTGCTTAAACCATCTAACCAGCTAACATCAGCTTCAACTTTTGACATTGATTAAAGTACTTGGACAGTTGATTTTTAACAGACAACAAAGGTATTTAGAGATGTGTTATTCATTGCATTCACCTAGTTACTTGGTGTAATGTAAATGCCTTCTAATTTTGTTAATTCAGGAACTTCATAAATGCATAGAATATATCGCCAAGGACTACTGGGAAGCAGAAGAGAAACTGCATCCTTTCAGGGTATTTGTGGGCTAGAAGTTTATGATGTTTTTGATCAAGGCTGGCAAGAATACATATTTCCTTTTTGCCACTGGGTGACTATTGACATCTGCAGTAAACACTAATCATAAGGTTTATGCAGTGCTCATTGAAGTAATGAATGCAAACTCCATTGTTTTAAATTGGTACCAATGCATCTCACATTTCTGATTCAATTTTTATCAGATGAGATGGTGCTGCTTTTTATGATGTGCCACCAATTGTTCTCATGAAACTCTGATCTTTGTTTAATTTTGTATATCCTATTGCATACCATCTACAGTTATATGTTGAAAATTCTGACAAAACCAGGCACTGACTTTCTTCACACATCTTCCAGGTAATGATAATATTAACCACTTATTCCCAGAGTGATAAGAAGGGATGAGAACAGATCTAGATCCTGGCTTGAAAAATGTTATGGCTGCTGTCCAAATTAATCTATATAGCATGCTTTGCAAATGGGGATGGCAGTCTTTCCCTTTCTTGCAAGTCTGAAAATCCAAGTGCTTGCATCTTTTCTTTTGTTTTTTAACTGCAAATGCTCACTTAATTTTTCATGATAGCAGGCATAATCAGAGTTGGACCTTATGTGTTCAAACTGTTAAATCAATATCCTGAACAATAATTAGGCCAGAGGTTCTGCCCTGTGTAAAAATAAATGTTTAATGTGGGTTATATAAATATAACACATACAGAAATGAACATTTAGCATGTACTAGTGGAACAATGGCTAGCTTCTTATAGGGTATTGCTAGCTTTGGACTTTTTAAAATGTAATTTGAAAATAGTTTAATGTACTTCACCAGCTCCCAAGTTCTGCCTTCCAGTGATCTCCATCACATGTTATTTTAACTTTAAAAAATGGTTTTTTGTTTCTTTGTTACCCTGTTGGAAAGAAACATGTTTGGACTAAATTGGTGATCCTATAGGGGAAGCAATATACAAGGGCTGTAATTATATAACTGTTCAACTATATAACTGTTGATGTCTTTACTATTGAGTCAATAATTTTAAGATGTTTCATACTACCATGAGGCAAGGCACAGGACACCAAATGTTTCTTTTCCAAGTTTATCCATGGTAATAGGTTGTGTTAACAGGCTTTTACAGACATTTTACAAAAGAACTACAGAAGCTTTCTATAGCTTGGAATATCTTTTGACACGGTTAGGACCAATGTTATTGTCTGGGAACTGTGGATTGTGACTCATATGAAGATATCCATAGGCTTTAAGTAATAAAATACATATGTCTTATTTCATTTTGGTGACTCTAGTAATAAAGGACTAGTAAATTCTTCTGTCAGAACGTAGAGAAAATTGAATTTTGCTTGTGGCTGTAGAATGGAAACACTAATTTGTTATGTGTACGTCTAACCTATAAATTAGTATAATCTGCCAAAATTGTTAGCTAATCAACATCTTATCCTTGAATCCAGTTGCAGTTATGCTGGCTGCATCCATAAAATTATCTCTTTTAAAAGGGTTAGTTTAAAAACTGAGAGAGAGTTTCTCATTCCACATTAATTACTACCACAGTCACTGAACAAGGTAGTACAGTATCTCTGGATTAATGCACTCATTCTTGCAAGTTTTGTGACTTCAAATTCAATTCGTATTGAGCCTGAGGCCTGCACACACTCATGGCTATATTTTGGTGACATTAGTCGACACAGTCAATTGGGTCACTAACTGGCTGGAGGGCCGCACCCAGAGAGTGGTGGTGGACAGGTCCTATTCGACCTGGAGGGATGTAGGCAGTGGGGTTCCGCAGGGCTCAGTCCTCGGGCCTGCGCTGTTCAACATCTTCATCAGCGACTTGGATGAGGGGGTAAAAAGCACCCTGTTCAAATTCGCAGATGACAGTAAGATATGGGGGGAAGTGGGCACGCTAGAAGGGAGGAATAGGCTGCAATCAGACCTAGACAGGTTACAGGGGTGGACGGATGAGAACAGGATGGGATTCAACACTGAGAAGTGCAAGGAGATGCAGCTGGGGAAGAAGAACCAGCAGCATACCTACAGGCTGGGGAACTCTCTTCTTGTTAGTGCAGAGGCAGAAAAGGATCTTGGAGTTATTACTGATGCCAAAATGAACGTGGGCCGACAGTGTGGGGACACGGTCAGGAAGGCCAACCGTACCTTGTCATGCATTCACAGATGCATCTCAAGCAGGTCCAAGGAGGTGATCCTCCCCCTCTATGCGACACTGGTCAGGCCGCAGTTGGAGTACTGCGTCCAGTTCTGGGCACCGCACTTCAGGAGGGATGTGGACAACATGTAGAGGGTTCAGAGGAGGGCCACCGGCATGATCAGAGGGCAGCAGGGCAGGCCCTATGAGGAGAGGCTAAGGGACCTGAAGCTGTTCAGCCTCCACAAGAGAAGGCTGAGGGGGGATCTAGTGGCCTGTTACAAACTGGTCAGAGGGGACCAGCAGGCATTGGGGGGCCCCTGTTCCCCCGAGCACTACCAGGAGTGACTAGAAATAACAGTCACAAGCTGGCAAAGGGTAGATTCAGACTAGATATCAGGAGGTGCTACTTCACAGTCAGGGTGGCTAGGATCTGGAACCAACTTCCAAGCGAAGTGGTGCTGGCTCCTACCCTGGGGGTCTTTAAGAGGAGGCTAGATGAACACGTTGCCGGGGTCGTTTGACCCCAGTACTCTTTCCTGCCATGGCAGGGGTTCAGACTTGATTATCTGCTCAGGTCCCTTCCTAGCCTACCATCTATGAAATTATGAGGCGCTTTACTGAACATTTTACAGTAAAGTGTCACTGTCTGCACATGCACAGCAATTACTGCATAGTATATTATTCTAATGTGCCATTTTCTAGTACCTGTAGATACTGGCACTAGAAATAGTATGGTTTAAGCTAACGTGCTGTACTGCATGTGTAGAAGCTGACCAGGAGCAAATTGCTCCCAGTAAGCCTAGGCAGCAGGGGGCCACAGGGGGCCGCGAGAGCTGTCCTGATCTCCACATGGTGGAGAGAGCTGTTCTGGCTGCCGCCCACCTCCCCTCGTTTTCCTCTTCCCACTCAGGGCCAGCCTGATCTCTCCCTGGCTAGGACAGAGCTGACCACCGCTGAGCCAGGACAACTCCCCCCTACCCCGCCCTCCAGAGCTTGGGGCTAAGTTCCCATGCCCCCTGTCAGCCCAGGGCATTCAGGCATATTAATTGCACATGTGGATGCACCCACTTAGACATTCCAGTCGTCAAGTGGTAGAAGTTGGCCCGGTTCTATTTCAGTTAATCAAGCTGAAGATGCCTCCCATGGACTCTTATGGATTCTAGAAATCATTAAATTCTTTGAGACAGTAAGGAATTTCTTGACATGTTTCCTCCAATACATAGCCATTACCACATTGAGACATACCCTTTGAGACATAAACCTCCCTGAATAATGCACCAGAATAGAAATTTATATTCCTTCTGAACTGAAAATTTTCCAGTTCTCCAGTAGTTTTTTAAAATTTCTGTTTGTCTTGTTTTACTTTCATTGTTATTTCTGGAAGATGTTTCTTTTTTCTTTAAAATAGCCAATGCAGAATTTTAACTTCAGCCTATTTACTTTTCCTCCTGGGAACAGTACAAATTTACTTATATCCCAGACCCTCTGAGGGACCTATAGACACATGCTCATCATGATTATAAGTGAGTTCTGCGTGTAAATTGATCTTCTCTTCCATGGGTAGATGATATATTTCAGAAGAGTGTAGAAATGTTGAAGGAGATTTCATGCAAACATTTCGGTTTCCATGAGAGCATAAGCTAAGGCTGATGTCTACTTCTGCAGAATTGGAGACAGGAATGGTGATCTTGCTATTCTTCCTATTTAACTGGTTCCTGGCAGCAGAATTCAGTTGTGGCTGCTTCCCTAATATTTTGGCTTCACTACTTACATTTTATATATCCCAGTTTTATTTAATATGTAGTTTGGTTTTCATCCCTTGAATCTCTGCAGGCTCTTATGTAATTCAATGCTGGAAATGATGAAGACTGTTTTGTAATTGTCTGCTCAGGAGCATTTTTTGATTTTGGTTTAATGTTATTTTTTTTACTTCAGTTGCTCTTTTTTTTTTCAGCATGATTGGAACTGGTACACAAATTATCCTTTCTCCTTAATGAATAGTTTTGGTCAGAAGGTGGAAGTGCTTTGTCCTAGTGAGTATACCAAACCTGGTATACCAACCCTGAGTCTACATTACTGAGACACTTTACTTTGTACAGTAAAGTACAGTGTAAAGAACAAATGGATCTACTAACTTCATGCACTGCAGTTGTCTAATAAGTACTCCCAAAATATCCTGGTTCAGTATAGTGTCTTAGGGGTTGCATTCATAAAAGCATGTTGTTTGAGTAT